CTGTGTCCCCTGCAGCTCCAGCCCTGGCACTCCGGGGTGCCCAGGGGGCTGTGCCAGCTCTCCCCTCCCCAGCACACTCCCTGTGCCCCATGATGGATCCCCACTCACCCGGAACACCTCGGCGTGGTCCAGCCGTGACACCAGCACCAGGCTCTTGGGTGCGAAGAGCTGCGCTGGCTGCACCGGGGATGAGGGCTCTCCCTCCTCCTCCTCCTCACCCTCACCATTCCTGGCGTGGCTCTGGGGCTGGGGGGACACAAAGCAGCCTCAGGGGGGGTTATGGGGTGYTCTGGGGTTATGGGGTCCTCTCTCAAGCCCCCGGTGCCAGGGCCTGGATTGCTGTGGCACAGGGAAGGCAGAGCTGAACCCTTGTCCATCAGTGCTGCTGACCACCCTTCCCTTTCCATCCATCCATGGATTCTTCTGGGAAACCAGGAACCCCTGGCCAGAGCTAAAAGCAGCTGGACCCTTCCCATCATTGCTGTGACCACGCTTTCAATCTGTTCATGGAATCCTCTGGGAAACCAGGAATCCTCAGCCAGAGGCAAAAGCAGCTGGGACCCTTCCCACCATTGCTGTGACCACCCTTCCCATCCATCCATGGAATCCTCTGGCAAACCAGGAACCCCTGGCCAGAGCTAAATGCAGCCAGACCCTTCCCCACCAGCTGATCACCCTTCCCATCCATCCACGGAATCTTCTGGGAAACCAGAAATTCCTGGACAGATCTAAATGCAGCCAGACCCTTCCCCACCAGCTGATCACCCTTCCCATCTGTCCATGGAATCTTCTGGGAATCTTCTGGGAAGGCAGGAACCCCCGGCCAGAGCCAGAGGCAGCCGGACCCTTCCCATCCATCCACAGAATATTCTGGGAATCTTCAGGCAAATCAGGAACCCCAGGCAGATCTAAATGCGGCCGGACCCTTCCCACCAGTTGATCACCCTTCCCATCCATCCATGGAATCTTCTGACAAACCAGGACCCCCAGCCAGAGCCAAAAGCAGCTGGGACCCTTCCCACCATTGCTGCTGATCACCCTTCCCTTCCCATCCATCCATGGAATTTTCTGCGAATCCTCTGGGAA